CTGCAGCGGCCGCGCAGCCGGGCGCGCAGCTGCCCCTGGCGCGCTCAGTCGGCGCCGGGGAGAAGCACGCAGGTGCCCCCGCGCTTGTGGACTGCACCTCGGGCGTCAACCTGCCCAGACAGGCGGGCGGCCGTAGCGCGCGCCTGCCGCCTTCGCTCATTGTCGGGCGTAGGGGGCGCCCAAATACCCGCGTCGTGAGCCACGGAAGCACCCGGTGAAATCGGCGTCGCGCTGCTCGAGCTTAAGATATCATACCTCTGGGCAGCGCCGCTCGGTGCAGCGGTTTGCCCCGCGGTGGCAGGCTGCCCCGAACTGCTGTCAGGTGGCGCCCGCTGAGCGCCTTCTCCGTATATGGCCCGGTAGACCTTCGCCTGCAAGTTCCCCGCGGCGAAGTCCTGATCCACGGCCGCGGGCTTGCCGCTATGCGCGGCATTCCTGCGCCGCCAGGTCTTCGGCGCGCTGCTGTCTACCATGGGCTGGACCGCGAATGCAAATGTCTCCTCGTTGGCGCCGTGGCCAATGCCCCCGGCACCCTCGGGCGCCATGAACACGCGGCCATCCATGGGAGCAGGTGGCCCCGCACTGCTTGAAGCAAATCGCCCCGCAATCGGCTCTGCGTCTGCAGTCTGGTTGATGAGCGCGGGTGTCTCCTCGCATTTGGGATTGGCCGCAATGGTGAATGCTGCAGCTCCCCATCGGCCTCCGCTGCCGCGCCATGCTCACCAGCCTTGATCGCTAGGTGTCCTGAACAACTTTTTGCGAGGTCAATCACTCCTGCGGAGCCCTTGCACGTCCGTACCTGGGATGGCCATCCTTTCGTCTCCTATCCAGGATTAGGGTTGGAAGGCGGCCGCTCGCGGGCGGCGCGGGAATCCAGGAAAACATTTAACTGAGCGAAAAATTGCCGGAACATTCGGCGCTGCGATACGAATGTAAACATTGTCCCCCGCTGCATAATTACGCAGAACCCGTTCGCTGGATTTGCAAAGTGGCGCGCGGCACGCGCGAAATGCAACTGCGCGCGCCCGCCCGGGAGTGATCCGCCCCGGACAACTCGAACGCCACGCTTGCGAGTCGACGACGCAGCCCCGCCGAATCCGAATAACTCCGACGCCGCACCTGCGACGGCAGCGGCGGCGGCGACGCGGCGGAAGGCAGGGGGGGCAGAGGCAGCAGCGCAGCCACTGATGGGAGGGACGGCGCCAGGGGCGACGGGGCCAATGAAACCCGCGCGCGAGAAGAAGGAGGGGGGCGAGTGTGCGACATCGCCTGGAGAATAGCATCGGGCGAAGAGGGGGCGCAGAGGACGGAGAGGGGGGCGGCTGGAATTTGAACGGGAGCGGCGGCTAGGACAGCCTCGACGGGGCCGCCGAGAACAGGCCCTTGGAACGAGGGCGCCTGCAGAACCCTCGCGCAGCTTGCAGCTCGACGGGGGGGCCCGCCGAAGGCCCTAGCGGCAGCGGCTGGTTGCTGCATATTTGCGCAACTGCCACGCGTGTCGTGGCCCCGCAGGACGCCCCGCTGAAAGCCCCGGCCCCGCTGGCACCGCTCGCGCGGCGGCCCCGGCCCATGTCGGCGCGCCCCCGTCGCGCGCCCCCTGGCCCCCACAGAAATCCACCAGAAACTGCGATCAGAACTGCTTATGGGCGGGCCCTTCGCCAATAATTTGTTGGGCGAGCACAGGCCCGGAGAAACTAAAATGGTTCATGCCCATTGTTTGTTTCATGGTTTTTGGCCACTTCATGCTTCCAACGCTCCAAGACGGCCGAAATGGCCCCCAAGACCGCCTCGAGACCGCCCAAGAGGGCCCCAGGACGGCCCCAAGTCCGCCGAAGATGCGCCCAGGACAGATCCAGACCACCCCAGAACAGGCCAAAATGAACCCAATGGCGTGAGCAGGAGACCTCCAGAGACCTCTGAGAGGACGCCGGGACCCCCCCGAGGCCTCCAACACACCCCAGACCCCTGAGAGTCCCCGACGAGGCTCCCAAAACAACCCAAGAGAGCTTCGAGAGCCGTGCCGAAGGAGCCCGAAGAGGGTAAAATCGTTGTTTTCCCATGGTTTCCCATTTTCCCGCCGATCGCCTTCTCACATTTTCCCGCTTCCAACGCTCCAAGACAAAGGCATTTGGGAACAAACAAGGAATTCCAGATATTGCCTTTTTGGGTTTCCTATTCCCTATCCTCTTCCTCGGACCCCATCAAGATTTCGGGGTCACATGCAAAAGTGTTTCGGGAATCGTGTTGAACTCTCTGCTGTCTTGGCACTCTCTTGGATCGTCTTCGTGTCCTCTAGGTTGCCCCTGAAACCGCCGTAGGAATCAAGATCCCATGGTCCCATGAGTTGAAGCAGTGGAATGTTAGAATTCTTTTATTTCAAACTCACCCCCTGCTTATTTCTGCACGATGGCCCCGAGAGGCATCCCAACAGACCGTGGCCGACATGCAGAGAACGTCAAACCCACAGCCCAGGCACTACAACTTGAACAAAAAGGGAGATCCCACCATTCCGATGTTTTCCAAATTCGCCCCCGATCTACTCTTGCACAACTGACCACAATGAAGGACTCAGAAGAGAACCCAGGAAGCCTTCGAGGGCCCCAGCTCGTTGAATGCCTAACGGCAATGAATGATTTGTGCGTTTCCGCAGGTCCCCTTCTATACGATTCCGAGGCTTGCGCAGGGCCTCCAAGAGAGTCCCAGGATACAAGAAGCGACAAGGATGAAATGATATTCCATGCGTTCGCCTATCAAGCCTAATTAGAACTTGAGCGCGCGCGAAGCGCGCGCGATGGTTCTTATACATATATATATACACATACATATTTACCTCACCTGCCACGTACATTTAGCGCAGCACCTAAAACAAGGGAAGAGAGGACGGATGGAAGCGGGAGGGAGAAGGATAGAGCACGAGAGAAATTAGCAGGAAAGGGGGCTAGGAACAGAAAACATGTGGCAGAACAAAACGGGCATGTCGGGCGTGCGGACCCCAGCGGGCGAGTAGGGAAGGCGGGCCCAGGCAACCCGATCGAGCACGCAAGTTGCTGAAGCGTGAAACCTGCATGAATCGATAGAGCGATTTTAGAATAATCTGTGAAGAAACATCATGCGGGAACCGTTCTTATTGTGGCCCGGGGGGAACAACGCAAATGGAGCAGAACAACTTCGCCTGATAAAAAAAAGGAGCCGGGTGCACTGGTGTGGGGGGGTTAACAATCATGCCTCTTCAAAAACGAACGTTCAACAACTAACAACGAACAACAACACCACAATAATCCACACCACGGAATCTCCCATCTCATCCACGCACCCAAGACAATCAAAACCTTTCGGCACCCTCACTCTGGCTATTGAACGCCAGGGCCCTGAGGCCAAATTAGTCCGCCACTGGGGAAGCCGGGCGATGCTCTTCTTGTTCGGATTCTGAGGGGGGAAGGGGGGCTGATGCCACTTTGGCACGACGAGGGCCTTTCGACTTTTCAAAGGATCTTTCGTCACGCCGCTGCAGCCCACGAAAAGCCCAGCCCAAGACACGCGAAGTGGGGATGCGCTTGGCAGTATGGAGGACGAAAGGTGCTGCCGAAGAGGCAGCGAGGAGGGCTAGGGGTGGTCGCGCCTTTGCTTCCTGGCATACGCCGCGCAAGGCTACGGCGTCACCAGTAAAACAGGCGTCTACCATGTGCGACGGACTGCCGCGGGTAAATCGACACATCGACAACTCTTTCGATAGTGTACCGGCGGATAAATAGTGAGGCCGATCGATCGTGAGAACGAGAGAGCTTGTTTTCTGGATGAAGACGGTTGTCCCGATGGTTGTCCCGTCGCTGGTTCCACTCCCATCGATCGTGAGAACGAGAGAGCTTGTTTTCTGGATGAAGACGGTTGTCCCGATGGTTGCCCCGTCGCTGGTTCCACTCCCCAGACATCCCGTGGCAGCTGGGAACCATGACGCAACTAGATGCGAGACGGTAAAACTGTCATACGCCCGCTGAATATTGGATTGTCAGCCAGGAGACGGAAAAGGAAGTGACAAATAGAGAATAGAGAGGACAAGCGGAGAAGGGGAAGGGAATTATAGAGAGGAGAACCGAAGAATGGATGGAGGCAGGGAGAAGAAATGAGAAAGGAGGGTGGGACCAGTGGTGAACAGAGGAGGCAACAAGGAGGAAACACTTTATAGGAACTTGGAAGAAGAACGGCAAGAACGATGCAACGGAGACTCGGAAAGGGAGGGAAGGAGGGGAGGCGAAGGGAAGGAGGGATATAGAACATAAAAGGGGGGAGGACGAGGACGACGAGAAACGGGAGCGAGGGAGAAGAAGGGTGACCCGAACGGAAATAAGGGACGTTGGTCCGCATGGGCCGCTTCAGGCCGAGATCTGCACTCGCATACCGACCTGCAGAGGAACAAACAGATCAGGATGGCGGTGTTTCCTGGCTGCGTCGGGGGGGCGTCAGGAGTCGGGTTGGGGGGTTAGGGGGGCTCGGGCTGGCCTGGCGGGGCCGTCAAGAAAATGCCAGAACCCAATCTGAAATGTCGCGCGAAATCCCGCTGCAAACGCCCCGCGACAGCTGGACCGCCACAGCCCAGGACACGCTCGTCAAAAAACGTGGGAGCATCCCAATGTTTACGCAACTCCTTTTGGTCGTAGCAAAACAATCCGCACCGCGGTCGAAGGCATCCGAAGGGCACTACGAGACCAAATTGAGCACGGCAGGCGAGGGAGGAGAGCTGGCGCGCGCAAAGGGAACGGAACACGCTCAGAGCATGAAGTTCCCGAACGTGCGTGCGGGAGCATTGGCGTGCAGAGCAGGACGACGTAGACGTCCGAGGAGGTGACAAGCAATCGAATCCAAGGGCCGCGATCTCGGATGTCGCCAAGAGGAGCACGAGCTCTGGCAATCTCGAGTCTTCCGCTTCCCCGACTGCGGGCCGCCGGCAGCCCGGCCCGAGCCACGGGCCCCGCGCACAGAACTGGGCCTGCTGGGCGCGAAGCCAGTGCGGGTGGGCGGGGTCTCGAGGAGCTCTCGAGGCCCCACGCGCTGCCCGAAATCGGGCTGGCAGAGGTGGACTCTGTCGGATTCCGCGGCTTGTCTGCCCACGTAGCTCGTCCGTCGCTCTTGCCGCGGCCACCGCTGCTCAAAGGCCCCGCCCTCCCACTCATCTCCTGTCTGAGGCGAGAGGCGACGGCACGGAGGGTGGCAGCGGTGACAGGCAAGAGGCCTCTGGCGCCAGCGGCGGCGGCTGCCACGCCTCCACGTTTAGTCGGCCAGAGGACTCGAGGGGCCAGCACGAGGTCATATCGATTCGGCTGGAGCTAGAGGGCGTGGCTCGGCGGCGAGCCCGTGGGGGCAGTGAGAGGGGGACGGCCTTCTTGAAGGCGGCGGGGCTTCTCAGAAGCCCTCGCGCCTTCTGAGAAGCCGTCTGTCTTCGGAGAAGATTCATCACTTCGCGAAGGCTCCAGGAAGAAACCTCGCCGCCTTCTGAGAAGGCCTGCCCCCTCTCACGTCCCCCTGGGCTCGCCGCCGGGTGGCCGGCACACTGCGCCAGAAGTCGCTACTGGTAACCTCCAGCCCATCCAGGCGTGGCAACTATTGACATTCCAACCTCGATGCTACGCAGTAGACGCATACCCGCAATCAGAAATCTTGCTATCACGGATCACAAGGCGCACTTTCAGTCTCTCTGTCGTTGATATTTGAGCTCCCAAGCAAGGTGGGTGCAACATTGTTTCTGCTGCTCCGCTGGGCCAACAGACGGTAGGAAAGGACAATTCCGCGTGGCACTCTTGCTTAATGCACCTCCTAGTGTACTCGTCAGTGTCCCCCAACTCGAGACATTTGAGCAGAACAGGGGCGAGGAGGAGGCCAGCGTCGCGTGCAGGGCCTGACCATGCGTCGACTGGCGCTTGGCCGAACAGCTGGCCCAATCAGCGAACATGTCGACGCAGAAGGCTGGAGCACTCAGAAGGGACACTTTCGCATGGGCACTTGGCATGTCCAGGGGCGGTTTCACAGACGGGGGCCCGCGCCCGCGAACGAAGTTTAAGCACGGCGATCTGGGAGAGAAGGCAACTTGGAATCTGGCCTACTTCGGCTTAACATCTGGAGCCATCCACGCTTGGCCAAAATATGCACGACGAACCTCAGGAGGAATGGAGGATAGAGGCCCGCAGTACAGCAACCCCAGGGTAACCACGCACGTCGTCGTATCCTCTTCCTCCCTTGCCCTCATATGTTCCTGCTGCTGCTCCTCATCCTCCACCTCCTCTTCCTCCTCCACCTCCTCCTCCTCCTCCTCGTACGTTCGCCTACAGCCTTACAGCCACTCTGGCCAAACCAATCCTGACCTCTGGAGCGGCGTGCACGATTTCCTGGCTTCGCCAGGAAACACATGCACCGACATCCTGGAATGAAGCTTGGCCTGCCTGGGATCCTGTCCGGGTGCACAGGCTGGCAACCTCAGAAGACTGCCCCGAAACCGCGCGCACTCGACAACACGCAAGGGTGACCCTGGGCAGAGGTGGTCTTCGGTGCGCAGCTTTCGGGGGCCGCGGCGGGGCCAGATTCGAGTGTGCACGCCATTGTTTGGGCCACTCCTGTTGGGACCGCACCACCTTTCACTCTGGGAAGTTACTCTTGCGATTGGCCGGTGCACCCTATCAGCCTTGACCGGCGCCGGCGCCTCCCTGGCGCTTTGCGACAAAGAAGAACTGACCCCGCGTTGTACATGACCAGCACGAACGAGAGGACCAGCACATTCCAGCGGGACGAACGAGCGGCGCAACGGCCTCGTGGGATCCCGGAGCGTAACGGTATGTGCGCGCTGCCTGATCTGAAGACGCGGCACCAAGTCTCCAGCTTCTTCATGATTGTCGGATGGGCGGCAGGGCCTGACCGTGGAAGTAGGTTAACCACGGAGTAGTCGAACCTCCTGTGGTTCCCGCAGGTAGAGGTGGGAAAGGAAGAGGGTCGCGAGTCATTTTTTCCAGGGCGCTGCGAAGGAGGCAGCGCGGTATGCTGTGCCAATACCTGAGCCGATCTGTCAGCGGGTAGAAATATTAGAATGGTGGTATGAGCGGCCTTTAACACCGCCGCGCAGGGTACTTAGGGGAGTCTGCCCGCCTTAACCGGGCCCAGGGTGCGCCCCCACAAAACACGTCGGCACGCCGGGGCGACTCCCCGTCACCGCGGGCGACAAATCTGGGAGAGCAAGAGAATGACAACAAATGGGAAAAGCAACGCCGAGTCGCTGGGCGCAGGCGTTTTCCGCCGGCGCACAAAGACTCATGCGCATAGCAGCTACAAGATTAAAGAAGTGTCACTTACTGGGCTCTCCAGGCCCGAATTCGCATGTGTATGTGGGTCAAAGTTGTCGCGACAACTGATCGAAGAGTTTGCGCGTGATCAAAGCTGTTGCGACACGTGATCGAAATAGCGGCACTGCGTGTGACGTGAGGCAACCTGGGCCTAAAAAGCGCACGGTGGTCGTCAAGAAGAAAATTAAATACGTGAAAGCGCCATCGAAATAAGAGTAATCGGAATCATGCTTTGCATGTGTCGTACTGTGTGCGCCCGACATATCATGAAGAACAACTCTGATGTCTGATGTGGGGGAGAGTGGCGACGGGCCACCTGCTTGGGTGCGCTCAAGCCGTTGGAGCCGCATAACAAAATCGGGTCCTGATGGCGGGCGACCTGCCATACTATACTCAACGACATCATGCCATCAATGATGCACGATGAAAGATTATGATACCTAATGCCGCACCAACGTCGAAAGAAATATGGTACGAATGCCAAGCTATACGGAACGATCTCATATCAACCAGAATTCAAACAACGAAACATAGATTGGTCACAGTATGCGGAATCCCAAATGCGATGCGATTGCTACGACTGTCAAGTTGCCCACTAGTGCGAAAAGCAAAAGTATCAAGCCAAATAATTTCACAATCGTTCTCATCGATCTAGATCCAGTTGTTCAGGTAGTACGACCAGTAGCGGCACGCGTCGTCGCCGAGTGCTCGAGGCCTGCAAACCCGCAACTCCAGTCCGCGCCGCCGGGGGCAAAGCCGCCGGAAGACGCCGCGACCTGGGAGGAGGCAGCCACCCATGGCAAGCCCATCGCGGCGCGGCGGTGGAGGAGAGGGCGATGGGGTAGAGCAGGGGTCGGTGACTGGAACAATCCCCCTGCCGAAGGCTATGCCCCCCGCAGTGGTCGCAACAGTGCGATGCCATGCTCTGGCCTGCGCCAGTGCCACGCGGCCCTGGCCCGTTCGTCGATCGGAAAGGCGCCTGCGCACATCTTGTAAATGTGCTTGTCGAAATTGGCATGGAGGTCGGTGCGAGCTACTGCGTCAATCTGAACTTCGGGCGTCCCTTCGTGGGCCAACGTCTCATTCCGCCTGCAGGTGTTCCCGCCGGCGCTCAACTCTCGACCGGGATCGCGGAAGGCCTGATCAGGGGTCGAGCGAGCGCTGTCGGTGGCCAGATCGGCGGAGAAAGAGTCGCATCCAATATCCGTCGTCTGATCGGGGAGATCGTCCATCATAATGTCTCTCGGCGATTGGCGTGCTAAGGCAGCGCCAGCATGCTCGGCCATGATCTGCACGATCTGTTCCACGAGGGCCGTGTCCGTCGCGGCCTTCTCGTCATCCTGCAGGCTATCATCGCTATCAGCACGGAGCACTTCGACGATTTGTTCCTGGATGGGTGGGGGTGGGTGGGTGGGGGGGCAGCAGATGCGGAGCTTCCTGGGTCAGACTTGGGCCCTGGAGATTCAAGGGGCCCCTCGGCGTCGATCTCTGCAGATGGGAGCGAAAAACGATTGGCGTCGGCCATGGAGATAAATACGCCGGGCTGTTTTGCGTCCTGGGGACTGTCGCACAGTCGATCCTGCCACGACGGGAGTGTTGACTGAAAGTACCCCTGAAGCGACACGTCGGCCGCCATTGGGTCGCCCCACAACGTTGGCAATGCACGGAGTCTCGGACGATTAGCCCCACGAGCCATAGCGCGAAGGATCTTTGACAACGCGCGCAAGCAAGCGGACGGAGGGACCGAGAGAGGGAGAACGAAGGCACGCGACGTCAGTAACAAGCCTGACAGTCTTAGCGGTCTGAGTTGTTTTCTCGGTCGTCGGGCTCCGAGTGACGTACGGCACTGGGTCAATGGGCGCCCGCGGTCGGCCAGGTAGCGTCGCGCCCCGAGTTGGCGGCACAGATGCGGGCACGCCCACCGGCGCTAAACCACCAGACGCCGGATCGCTCGCCGGTGGCGCGAATGCAGGTGCGCCCGCCGTCGCACGGTCACAATGCGTTATTCCGCTCAGTAGGGGCGCAGACACAGGCGCGCCCGACGGCGCGATGGCATCACCCGCGCAAGGATTGCACAAGAAAGGATACGATACGCCATGTCCGTTCAATCGTGCACTCCGCGAACGTCAAGAAATGGGTAGCGCGGTGCACATCTGAGACGGTGAACTCCGCTCAATATTGTTGAAGTCGAATTCTGGGATGCGGTCAGTGCCAATAACCCTGTACCATTGACCATGTGGGTCCTGCAATAAGTAACCCACTAGAGGATCCCAGATTTGTCGGAAGCCGTCGCCCTGTACCAGTTGTCCCACAGATAATACCGATGGGCAGTCATCCAGTGCAAGGGCTGGGCTGGATAAGCCCATGTGTGAAAGCTTCAGGTGGACGCGTTCGTTGACGATCCTGTCGCCGCTGGCTGTTTCCAATAAATGTTCGCGTCCTCGATGCATGTCGGTTGTTTCGTGTTGCGCGAGGTCTGCCTTGTCCTGGATGTGGTGAGCGGGGCCACTGTCCAGGATCCACGTTCGTGACAGCGCTGCAGTGGACCGCGTCGCCGTAGCAGACTCGGTTGCGGGCGTTGCCACCGACGCTGGGCTGTCGTCGGGTGGCAGGGCCGGCGCCGTGGTAAGTCTGGTTGGAGAGGGTATTGTCATCGTGCCACTTCTGCGCCTCGAGCTGGCAGGCCTGGAGTGCCTCGGCGCTGTCCTGCAGCCATCTGTCCGGCAGCTTGTCGGGTTGCAACAACGAGGTCACCCTCGTTGGCTTCAGAATGACATTTGGCCAGTTGCTGTTTGGGCGCAGGGTCGGTGATGACGTCAATGTTGCCGAGGTCGAAACGTAGGCACCGTGGTTTTTGGTCTGCGATGAACAAAATCTGTTCATGGACCACGCACGTTCAGTCCCGTCGTCGAACGCGTCGCGTCGCAGGAGGGGATCGGCGCCTGCAGCGCGTCGAGCCGCTGCTGCCGTCGACGCGCGAGCGTCGACGACTGCGTCCGCGGCTGCCGCCCCGCGAAGAACAACGGGATTGTTCCGGGCGCCGCGCCTTCCATCGCAAATCCATCGGAACCTGATCAATCCACCCGCGGCCCCCCAGACTAGGCCCCAGCCTGACCCCCAAGAAGCCTCAGTGTGCCCCCAACGCGCCCCCAAATATCCCTCAGGTGGCCCAAGATGGTCCAAACCAGTCCCCAAGACGACTGCAGGAGGCCAATGTTTTTGACACGTTTCAGGTTTGTCGAGCGAGGTTGTCTGTCTGGCCATTTCGCTTCCCACAGGATTCAGAGGCTTCAACCTTGGCCTCCAGATGGCTCCAAGATCGCCAGCTGGCTCCAAGTGGGGCCTGGAAGGGCTCAAAGAAGGTTCATAATACCTCCATAATGCCCCAGAAGAGTCTCCAAAGAGCTCCAACAGGGTCCAAGAAGGCCGCAAAGAGGCCAAATAACGAACATCAAGGGGTGGCAGGCCACAAGAGGACCCCTAAGCAGCCTCGGCATGCCTCCAGGACGACCCCAACAGCATCCCGAGGTGGCCCGAGATGGTCCAAGAAAGCCCCCAATGCGACTCCAGGAGGCGAACACGCTTCAAATAACTACTTAAAGGTTTCTTCAAAGATGTTGCCTTTCTCGCCGTTCGCTTCCTATGAACTTCGGGAACCTCAAGATGGATCTATAGAAACCTCCCAAATCGCCCCAAATAGCGCCACGTGGGGCCCGCAAAGGCTAGGCATAGGGTCCCGATACCTCTCAGACAACCCCAGGAGAGACCCAAAGCAGCTCCGAAAGATCTCGCTAGTGCCCCGCAGGCACCAACAAGCGGGCATCAAAGTGTAGCAGGCCATAAGAGGATCCCTAGGCAGCCCCAAGATGCTTTACGACAACCCCAAGGAAGCCCCAAAATAGGCCCGAGGTGGTCCAACATGGTCCAAGGCCGTGCTGGGGGCCTCCAGAAACCAACAATCAAGCATACATCTACGTTTACTCAACGGTGTTGCCTCTTTCGCCCGTTCGCTTCCAGTGGGCGTCTGAGGCTCCGAAGTGGCTCCCAAATCGCCCCAAATGGCTCCAATTGGAGCCCGGAAGGGCTCCCAAACCGTGCAACCAGATGGAAACTCTTGTAAACGTTTGGGTCGCAAGGATGCGCGAATAGGTTGAATACCTAGGGCACGGGATCAATCTGTCCCAAAAACGTCTCAAGGACAGGATCCTCAACGACGTAACCTTCCTCGCCGCCCCGCTATCGAGGACCTTCTCGAGCGAGAAGGAGGAAGGGAGGAAGGGCGGAAGGAGGGAAGGACGGAAAAGTGGAGAGAAGGAAGGAGGAAGAGGAGGAGGAAGGAGGAATGATCGTAAAAAACTGAGGAAGGAATAGGAGGAAGAGGAAGAAAGAAAGAAGAAGGAAAAGGCTTGTTCATGCGAGTCGGAAACACTGCGCACGCAGGACTCCCTTCAGGGGCCGCGGAGCTGAGCCCAGCCCCTTCTCCGAGCGCGTGTGGCGGGGAAGAGGAGAGGAAGGAAAAGAAGAGAGAAGAGGGATAACAACAATAGGGAGCGGAGTATGGATTAGGAAGGATGAAGGAGTAAGAGAGACAGTGGAAGACGAAAAGAGGAAGAAAGACAACGACAGAAGAAAGGAAGGAAGGAAGGAGGAAACGGGAGAAGAAGAAATGGGAGAAGCAGGAAGGGGACGAGTAGCAGGGGGACAAACAGGAAGAAATCCCTTCCCTCCAACTTCGCTCGTATCTCCGCGCGCGCCTGCTATCGTCACGCGGCGGAGCCGGACAGGACGAGGAATAAATGAGACACCCTGAACATCAGCAGTGATGAGAGCACCCAACACGGAGAAGGGTACAATAGAACAACTGCGCGTGAGCGTGCGACAATATCAACGCGACACCCGATTCAAGGATCTCCGAGGCGCCTCTGGGGCGATCTCCTGTGAACAGCCCCTCGAAAGAAATACACAAGGGGGGCACTGCGTTGACGAGTCCACCAGCAGGACCAGCCAAAAGACGCGTTGTCAAGCTTCACTGGCAGACCTCGACAAGGGGCCCTGTTCGATTCATATTGCCCTCCTGGACACACAACGGTTCGGAGAAATGCAAATGCTTACTGCCAAACAGATGCAACATGGGGAAGACGCACTGGCGATTACCGCCGGTAACGCTGCATAAGCCGGCATAATAAAAGAAACGCTGAAACAACACATGGTGCGGAAACGTTTTCTCGAGGCGAGCCTCGCGAGGCGTCCAACAACAAACATGAACAAAGGTAACAGGCAATATTCCTACACCATGTCCTCGCACACTTTCGTATATAACGTATCACCAAACATCTAGGATATACCAGAATACTCCCCACCATGTGGCATAACGACGAGCGTGAACCGAACCGCTGGCCAATTCGCTGTCTATTCTAAGTGGGCCGACTCTCCCGCGATCCTCGGGATCAACCTCTTCGCTTCCTGCTTCGCCTACCTCACCGTTGAAGGAAACGTCTTCTTCGCCGCCGTCCTGTACTTTCCAGTTGGTATTTTCTCTTTCCTGGGAGGTGGCAATTTCATCCACCAGGCCCATCGTCCTGCATCATGCTGGTCCTCGTCCTCCTCCCTCCTTCTACCCCCTCGCTATCCTTGTGCACTACTCGTCTTCCAATCCTCATCATTCCAATTCTCTTCTCATATTCCTCATCCTATACCCCCTTCCCTCATCCTCTTCCTCCTCTTTTCCATTATCCGTATTGGCATAATATCACTTCGACTGCCTGTGTTCCATGGGCCGACAGGGAAAGTGAATCTGCACTGGCTGCCCATTAATCCGTGACCTGCCGAATGGTGGGTGGCTTACCATGGTAGCATTCCCCAGGATTTGCCTAGCATCGGTCTGCTCAATAGTGCGTGCAATGATGCGGTCGCGAAGATTTGGTCTCAATCCAAAACGGCGTGTGGAACTTGGTTAACGACCAAAGCGTCGAACCTACTATGTTTCCCGCAGGTAGAGGAAAGTATGGGAGGTCGTGAGCCCTTCTTCTCTCATGCGCCGCGGAAGAGGCGGCGCGGTACTCAGGGTCAATACCTGAGCCGGGACGTCGGCGGCAGAAAAGGAAATAATGGTGAGATGAGCGGGCTTCACCCACACGCGCACACCCCGTCCCGAATCCCGCCTGCTCCACGTTGGCTTCGGGCCCATGGGAGACGAAAGCGGGGCTCGGGAACAGAGGAGTGAGGTCCACGCAATACACCGTCATGTCCGCTGCGCCTCCAAACGAAGACCGTCTCGGCTGGGAAGGAGACGAAGGGGAACCAACCCCGCCACGCAGGGCACTTAGGGGATTCTACCCGCCCTTCGCGGGTCCACGGCGCGCCCCCAAAAAGGCTTCGGCACTCCCAGGCGACCCCCCGCCACCACGGGTGACGAGGCTGGGAGAGCAAGGGAACGAAGGACAAGTGGACAAAAACAGCGCCGCGTCGTGAGCATTGACGCGGGAATCTCCGCCGGCGAACAAAGATTCGTACACCAAGCCAATGCAAGGTAAACGCGCTGCGATCGAAGTTGCGACGACAGCTGATCGCGTAAAAAGATGCGTCACTCACTGGGTTCCCCAGGCCCGAATTCGCATTTGTATTCAGGTCGAAGTTACGACGACAACTGATCGAATTTATTGCATGTGATCGAGGCTGCTAAGGCAACTGATCAGAGAAGAATATGCAAGGTCGATGGCGCGAGGCGCTCCAGCCCCCAGAGAAGGTGCCACGATCGTCAAAAGAAACGAAAAAAAAATGTGATAGGCCAAGCAAAATAAAAATCATAGGAAACATGCCTTACATCTGTCGTACTCTGCTCTTCCGATTTCCCATGGAAAGAAAGTGCGATGCATGATGCGAGAAGAGCGGCGACGGGCGACCTGCTTGGGTGCGCTCAGGCCCTTGCTGTCGTTGAGAATCAGGCATTGATGGCGGGAAACTTGCCAGGGTGCGCTTATGCCCACCATGCAACCATAGTGTATGATAAATGCACACTGAAATATGCAGATACGCAGTGTCATACGAATGTCAAAACACAGCCACGATATACGAATCAACGGAACCTGCTACACTCGTAGTATGCATCATCCCAAATGCGACTGCCGCGGTCGTCATCCTGGCCAAACTGACGCGCGGCGCTCGGGTCAATCCAAATGCGTTCGTAATCGTTCTCGCCAACGTAGATCCAATTGCGCAAGTGGCATGACCAATAGCGGCACGCGTCGTTGTCGCAGCGCCCAAAGCGGTCGCGCCACCACGCATCAGGGCGACTCTTCCGCGCGGCACTACGGCTGCACGAAACTGCACCATCGCGTGCAGGGATCCACTTTCCGTGGTCGTTGGGGGGAGAATTGCCGCGAGCACGATGTGGACGTAGGCCCATGCGCTTGTCACCCGAAGCATTGTCATTGGCGCTCCAACAGAGCAAGGCACTGAGACCTCGCTGGCAATGCTTCTGTTTGACACAAGCAAGAACAGTGTCCACCCAATAATTACATATGACTTCGTTCCTTGCGCAATGCCCATCGTAGTCTCCGGTCATATAACGCGCTCTGGCCTCGCAGATAACGTTGACGATGTCCTCCTGATATTGACTACGCGGGTCCGTGGAAGCCGTGGCGACATCGAAATTGCGGCGCATTTCTTCGCCATGCCTCTGTCGCGCAGCGGCTGGGTCAAACATGCAGGTGTCTCCGCAAGCTTCAGGCAACAACGGTACATTGCATCCGAAAGGACAGCCGTGCACAAGCCAAACATGTCTTGTAGTCAGTCTCCTGCATGGTCCGCAGCAGTACATCATCACGCATCCAGATACTGAAACCCTCAAGCGTTGCACCATGCTGGCATCGGAACTCGCGCAGCCAAGGGCAAATAAGGGAAACGAGCGCAGGGGTGGATCCATCCGCAATCTGTTTGCGGAATCGTGCATCGTTCATGTCGTCGATGCCCTGGCGCGGCGTTGTCTTCTCTTTGCTTTCCGCTTTTAGTCTGCGCGGTGCAACTGGAGTCGACGTATCTACTCCCCCATGCGAAGGCATGTCCACCTGGTCCGAAAGCGCGAATGACCGGGCGTCCGAAGCCCTCCCGTAGAAGAATTGCCCAACCACTGTCGCTGAACATTATCTTGAAGTAACGGCCAGACGCAAACGCCGACCACGTTGGTGGTGGGGCGGTCGGACCATCCTTGAGAATGACGTCGCATCCAAAACTGCCAGCGTGATTGCCTGGAGGCACGTCACTGACGCGGGGCAGGTTGGGCACCCATGGCTGCCAAAAGGGGGCAAAAATGCGCAACGTTCCCGTTGAAACAAACGTGCCATCATCTTCGGGCGTCGCCACCCGCGCAGGCATGGACTCAGGTCCACCGGGGCCCCCGCGGGATGTCACCCAGGATGATGCGTTCGTCTCGTACGCGTGGGCGTTTATCAGGTTGAGGAAGACGCGGCGGCGGGTCTTCTGCAGCGCCTCGCCCGCCATATCGGGCGCGCGTGGCGCAGCAGGCGGCCGCGAAGGGAACTTCGCGCCGCCTCGGGAGATCGGGGAAGTTGGCCGATGTGAGTCCGTGTCGTTCTAAGAGTATGCCTCACCTTTGCTGTAGTCTGTCCTGGCGTTTGCCCAGCGAGGATCTTGCCAAAGTTATTCCAAGGCATCAGACGAATCTTCCATGTGCTACTGGCCATGTCGTTGCGCTCCTCCATCGGCGGACACTTGATGCCCTCCGTGCCGAGCGAGGGTACGCTGTGGAATAGGAGCTCGGGCTGCTGCTGACGGATGTTCGCAGTGGCGGAGCCCTTCAGATGAGCGTCCTGCGAGCGAAAACCACGCGAGTATGAAAGCAGACCGCGGCGTCGCCGCGGGCGGAGATGGGGTCGGAATACGACTGCCGTCCAGGATCTCAGATGCCCACTTCCATCGGGGCGCCGTTCATGGTAGAGGAGGGAAATCATAAGAGAAACCTACGGTGAACGACGGCGTGCCACTTGTGATGGGAACGCAGGGCCCACGCGGACGTTGTCATCGGCGCCAGCGCGGGGTTGGCCATGATGGTCCGGGGCTGGGCGGGGCTGCTCCTATCGCCTGAGAGAGGGGGGGGGGGGGAACGCGCGCGCCTGAAAGTTGGGGCGGCCACGGAAAGACGCACGCCCGGCAACGCGCGCGCGCGCGAATGGAAGACGCGGGAAGAGGGGCGCTGGAGTCAAAAGCATCAATACTCACGGCCTTGGCGGCCTCAGCGTCTTCTCAGTCTTCGCGAGAAGACTGAAAATGAACGATAGCACCAGTAACTCTTGCCACAAGTGGGCCTTCGTAGGCGCAGAAGGTTCAGCCATCATGTCGGCAACCTGTTCTCTAGCACCTACATAGTTGGAGTAGTTCTGTTCCTGCTGACATGTTTCTATAATCTAATCCAAGTTAGTACGGTGAGTGCGATGTAGATGGCGAACTCCGGGCGTTCACCCTTCTTGGAGCATCGCGATAACTGCATGGTTATCCTCGGCCACAACGAGGTCCACCATCGGAGGCGGTGCCGGCGCGGGGAGAGGGCGCGGGACATGTAGGCATGTAGGACGATGTCACCGTGCATAATGTTGGATGGTGGCGTTGGCGACGACGGCGCAGCGCGTGTCGAAGTCTTGGTGCCGGGCGGAGAAGCTCGCGTAGGTGGGGCCCTCCGTGGGGGCGTTTTGCGTCGCTTCTTCTTGGCGGCCATGGACGCGCTGGCGCCCTTCCCGCGGGTTGGGTCGTGGACCGCAGCTTCCCACGAGGAAAGCAGAAGTCGACCTTCCGTACGCAGAGCCATGCCAAAAGCCACGATCTCGGACTCTGCGGACGAAAACGATACCACGGTTTGCTTCTTGCATACAGCATTGAGCGGGAAGAATGTGTTGGGCCCCACCAGCGCCACGAAGACGCCGGTGGTCGACTTTAAGTTGCTGACGCAATCTGCGAAGGGTGCGTCGGTGAAGAGCACAATGGATGTTTGATCTGATCTGTCACCTATCCACACATGGAGACAGTGTGTGTGCGCGTGGACTTCAAATGACAGACCAGTCGATGTAAACGCATATCACAGGCGTAGTTTCATTTAGAGATCTCCCGTGCCACCCACGAGTTCAGACCTGCAGCAGCGCGCCAGGCACAGGATCTCCATCATGACACTAGCTGCGTCATGTCCGTGGACGCCCCTGTCATTGCAATGGCCGTTCCGAGAAAGCCGTATCCTCAATGCCAGGGGTGTCCGCCTGTGGGGGATCGTCGTCTGTGATGCGTACGGCGTAGTTCGCATTTTTCCTACCAGCTCGCAAGATCAGGTTGCGGTGGTTCGCCAACGGGCGCAAACGATCGAGGCTGGGCCGAGCGAGGCTTAGGCGATGGGTCTTTTTGTCCGTGAACCATGCATGCCGCGTTGCTTGGACACGCGGTCCAAGCATCGAGTGATGTACTGTTCGGTAAAGCCCAGGATGTCGTGACGAATCCCACGACCAGTCGATGAGGATGCGTGCTGTTGGTTTTATGCTATGG